AGTATTAAGGCTGTTTGGTCTGTAATTGTGGGAGGGGCTTAAATTAAATCACTCCCCTATATAAGGAACACCCCTTACCTGACTCCATACCGATCAAGGTCAGCGTCTGAATAACCCTCCCACCCACTCCTCATTCTCGACACTTTCTTTTTACTTCTATTTCTTTACTTTACTTTCATTACTCCTTGGTGGGCCCTCTTTATTTACAGGCCTACCATATCGTCAGTCTCGGCACATCACAACCGACTTTGCTCTTTCATACTATGCTACGTTCTTACCTGAACCTTACTCCATAAACGGCTATTTGCCCCTTACACTATATATATATATATATATATATATATATATATATATATAAATATATATATACACATACATACACGTGTGTGTATATAATTTGTGTGTATATATAAACAAAAACACACATATATACATATAATACGTGTGTATATCTATATATATATATATATATATATATATATATATATACACACACATATACACACACATATACACACACACTTATTTTCTATATATGTATATTATAAAAATAATTGAAGCATTTTAAAATATATTATACATATACAATGCATATATATGATTTCATTAAAGTGTATATATCTCAAAGAACAATTATAATGAAATCACATATATGCATAATATATTAAGAGAGACATCCTGTATACTATATTATGAATTGATTTAATTATTTTATAATATATTATACATATATATGTATAACCGATTTAATTTATTTATTTTACTTTTTAGCAGCCTGGGGGACTGCCTGACAGCTCAGACATTCCCCATGCTGGCAGCTCCTAGAGTCATATTGCGGCGATATAATCATGGTGATCACATGGCCCTGGAGGGCCGGGGTGGCTGGAGCTGCTGCAGAAGGACTGCCGGGGTCTCCAGCAGTCCCCCCCAACCGTGATCGCCGCAGATCGCCGGTCCAGATAAGTCCAGGGCTCCTATTTTCCGCGAATATACTAGGTACGTCTGCGGTCCTTTACATAGTACGTCCACAGTCGTTAACGAGATATACATAGAAATAAAATTATATATATGTGTGTGTATTTTGATATAAAAATATATATATTAATATATTATCAAAATACAGTTATATACCAAAATTATATAAATATATATATAAACAAAACAGAAAAAACAGCTGCCCACTGAACACCTCCCAAGTAGTGTTACGTCTGAACAATCCAAGAAATACAATATACGTGGGATTCAGCTGATGGATCTAAAATAAAATAAAACAAAACATAGCATTAAACAGTTTTTGGAAATATAATATTCCCTGCTATAGGTTGCACTCACAGGATGTTGAAATTATATGCGCTCTATTGGTGCCTCCCCAGATATTTTGGGGGGCTAGTATCTCCCTCTTAGGATCAGGTATCACCCAGTATCAGGAACTATGCAGGACTTCAACAGGTAGATAGGTGGAAAAAGAGGTTTGTTGATTTAAAAAAATAAAAGAGGATTGGTCTTACGCATTTCATCCACTAGGGGACTTCCTCAGAGACCAGTATACAATAAAAGACAATGATATTATCAATAATGCTCCCAAAAAGCAGCCTAATTCCACCCTCCCGTCAGTCCCCTTAAATAGGGCTAATCCCTTTAGTTCATTGGTGGTTCCAGTGGGTGTTTTCCTTGTTCATCTCCTCATTGGTGATTCTTGGATCCCATTCATTTGTTGTTCATTCGAACATAATTGATATTATAATTCCAGCTGATTGGTATTTATTTTTATTTTTTTTATAAATCTTTATTTTTCGTGTGGAAAGATGATAAAACACACGTGTATGGCCACAACAGCCTCTACACGTTAATCAGCGTCATTGCATAGTAAATACAGGCATTGTTGGATTATTTTCACACACATTTTGTAGTTACAATAGGTCTCATTGTTATAGTGAGTTATTTAAATCGTATAACTGTGAGGGTGGAAGACACTTGTCTGCTCAGGTCACCCCTTGTTTTATGGGGTCTTAAGTGGAGGGGAGAGGGTGGTTACGGCTAAGTCTGGATACTATTTATGGTTCCCTGCCATGTGTCTCAAGGTTGTGGGTGTATAGTGTGCCCGGTGGCCCTTCTGCGTATAGGCCGGAGTGGGTTGTGGTGGTTGCGGGGTCCCTCTGTAGGTTTCCCTTCTAGGACTAAGTCCGCTCCCTTGTTTGTTCCTGACTGTGGCCATTGGTTTGCACCCGTGTGTGTAGTGCTCTAGGAGTCATAAGGTGTCTTTTCGTCCTAGTGATGGCTGCGCGTGGTTGCTGGTCAATTTTACAACTATGGCTTTTAAAGTCAAGGTGTATATAAGTCGTTGTGGTGTTACAGGATCAAGCTGTACCCGTGGGACTTCAGGCTAGGGTTATTAGACTTGGTGGTGAGCTTGATGCAAGTCAGGGTTGCTAGGTCGCCCTTGATGTCAGTTCCCTTTAACCCCAGGGAGGGGAGGGGTGTCATTGGGGCAAGGGTGGTTGGCTCTAGTGGGCCTTTTTTGCATTGCAATAACTTTTAGAATGAGAAAGAACTATATGTAAGTTAAGGGACAGTCTTATTAACACAAAATATTGAAACTAAATATTTAAACTAAAGCCTAAGCGGCTGTCAGCAGAGGCAGTTCGTTCAGGTTTTGGGTTTGGTGCCCCTGCTTGTTCCAGGAGTCGCGGTTGTATCTGCGCTTGTTGTCCCAGGCTGATGGTCTAGCTGTGTCGTTGAGGTCGATGCAAGTCCTAGTGCAATCATCAGTGCTGAGCCCTCCGTGTGGTCGATGGCCTTGTAGTGCTTATCATCTTTAGTGATCCAAAACCGGAAGTGACGTATTGCAACCACTTCCGTGCATTCCAATTTGTGTTCCAACTTTATTCCATTTGATATCTCAAATCAATCATTCTCCACCTGGTGTACTCTAGGGGAATTAGCTTTAAAACACTTAAGGAAATAACAATAAATTAGCTGGAATATATTGTTTCAATAAAGGACAACGTTAGATCTTATAAATAAAGCACAATTGAATGTACAATCTCTATAAAGATTACATAACTGATGTTATAATATGCACATTGATATCTCTGTGGTGCATGACTGAACTTATCATACTTATCATATAGGCAATCTGACTTTATATTATTGATTCTATAATGCATTCTTGTTATTTCTTTCCAGCCTATCTTACAAACAATATGTTTGAGTATTAAATGTTTAGATTATGCTACAAACTAATTCAATTTTTATACAAACATAAAATTAGATGTAAAATATATAGCCACATATATCCATAATTTGAATCAAAAGTTATTTAATTTACTATTAGAGAAACCACCATCAACACCGATCCACTTTGACAGAGCACACCGCTCACTCAGACCTAAAAGCAATAACAGGGACACCCCAAGAGATATCATGTGTCGTCTACACTACTTTGTAGACAAAGACCGAATACTGAAGAAGTTAAGAGACACTAAAACCGGTCACAGACCAACTGCGTGCTAGAAACATCAAATATCGATGGGGCTTTCCCCTAGCCCTCATTGTCACGCTCAAAGGGACCAACCACACCATAGCAGAATATAAGGACGTGACGCCATTCATAAGGGCATACTCAAAATACCAATGATGGACTGGTATGCCATGGACCCAGCGCAGTCCTTGGCTCGACTCCCACAGGAACAAAGAAGACGCTCACCCCCCAAGAGGCAAAGGAGGGGATCCTCGGACGAGCGTGGAAGAGGAGATCTTCCGCCAGTGCAGAGGACATAAAGGAACCACACCGAATGCTAGGCCCCCACACAGAGGAGTCAAACAACTAACGACGAACCCAAAACGAAAAAGACTTACACGAAACTGCGAACTACAGTAGGCTCCTGATACACCACGTCAGGCCCCAGCTGAATTGCTTCACCACCTCACCACCGCAGAGCGGAGAGTCACGACAACGTGAGGTAACTCTCGGACACTGCCACCGTGGACATGCAGGAAATCAAGCGGAGCCTGTCACTGAGACTTTATTTACCTGCCGCCTCTCAAAGCCACAATGAGGCGTAAGAAAGACATTCATAGACCAGGTCGTATGCTATATGTCTACTGATTAGGTTTTGAGATACTGTACCACTTAAAGACACAGTCTACCTACCACTCCCCGAATGCACAAGGGAGAGACATAGTTGATAGCCACTCATCACACCCCCACACACATGCAAAGATACATCAGAGAGGGGGGTAAAACAACCAAAAAAATAAAAAAAATAAAAATCTCTACTCTAAATTGGAGTCGTAAAGACATACCCACCCGGGAACCTAGCCCCCACCCTTCCAATACACCACACCCCATAACGAATATTGAACTTAGGTTCAACCCCAGCTCCAAACGAACACGACAATTGCAAGTGCCTGCTTGCCGACCGACACACGCATGCCACACACCAACGATACAGCACACCCTAGCAGCCAAATCAGCTGCATCATCATCGCCACACCTCACACTGCCTCAGAGCCGGCGACGCCTGCTAACACACCCGCAGCGACACCTGAACCAGTACAGGGGGAGTTCGACCGGCACCTTCACAGAGGCCCCAACATCCCAGCAATACCAACAAACACACACAACATAGTATTACTGTACATTACTGTACTGATACGTCCGGACCTATACACTACCCGGACAGAGAAAACCCACGCCCCCAGCCACCTCTGGCAGGGTGTAAGACCAGAGTTTTAATCTCTGTTTTCTGTTTTTGTTTATGTAGGTTTATGTTTATCTTTCAATTGCTAACGGTGTAATTTCCTTCCGCAGTAAAGGTTCTCTGCAAAACGTCTCCACAGACAAGGCCACACCACAAGCCAATACCGCTGCTGCTCACGGCTCAGGCGAGGGGGATCCACCCACGGAAAGTGGGAAACAGATCACACAACAAAGTAGGTGCTCACACAAACACACCACTATACCTCTAGTGTCACACCCTACACATGGCCCTGAAAATTGCCTCTCTCAATGTTAAGTGACTGAACACCCCGAACAAGCGCAGGTTACTGTTAAGGGACCTGAAATCACGCAAAACAGACATTGCCCTTATACAAGAAACCCACACACCCAGAACAGCATCAGTAACCCTGAAAGACAGATACTTCCCACAGACCCACGAAGCGAGAGCGCTACACAAACGCGCCGGAGTGGCAATATTAGTACACAAAAACTGCCCACTCCAGGTGACAGGGACGCTAGCTGACCCAGAGGGCAGCTACATCGTAATAACAGGCACCATACACAATACAAAAATAAGAATCATTAATGTGTACGCTCCTAACATACCAGATCCTACATACTGGGACACTCTCGCGACGATAATTAACGCTGAATGGGGAGGGATTACACTGGTGGGGGGCGACTTTAACGCCGTACCAAGTCCGGCAATCGATAGAAGCACAAAAACAGGGTCACCCAAGTCCCAGGGGAGAGGAGCACAGGACAAGCTATTGCACACATTCCTCACGAACACACAGCTTCTAGACCCCTGGAGGCTCCAGCATCCAGACACACGTGACTACACGTTCTATTCGGCGCCCCACGGCACATACTCGAGAATTGACCACATCTTTCTCAGCGGAGTAGGGATGTCCAAGCTCGTGCATTCTGACATAGGCAGTATCACTTGGTCGGACCATGCGGACATATCAAGAACGTTAGTCAATCTCAAATACTTAGCCACATGGAGCTGGCGCCTTAACACAAGCCTATTAAATAGTGACACTATATGCGAAGACACGCGTACCCTACTTACAGAATACTTCACTCAAAACACCACACTCGAGGTGGACCCAGTAGCGCTATGGGCAGCCCACAAAGCGGTCCTGAGAGGACACTTCATTAGAGCAGCAACATATAAAAAGAAATGCAACACCCGAGCACTAATAGAACTTCAGAACGCTTTGAGAAAAGCGGAACAACAGCACAAATAAAAACCCACAGCCGAAAAACTAGCGGAACTCACCGCTCTACGACACTCAATCAGGGGGATCTTGCTCGAGGGGGGTCGCACACTCCATTCAGAGATCTAGACGACTGTTCTACGAAAAGTCCAACAAGATGGACTCCCTACTAGCCAGAGCACTGCGCCCCTGCGGGGACCACAAACCCATCACGAGACTACGCACACTCACCCAGACACTAGCGACGACCCCCCAAGATATTAACAGGGTATTCACGGAGTTCTACTCGAACCTCTATGGGCAGGCCCACCACTCACAAAACACACCGGAACGACTACGTTCATCACTTCGTACATTCCTTACCAACATAAAGCTACCTCAGATATCAGATATAGACACCACAAACTTACAAAAAACCATCTCCCAATTAGAAGTAGAAACCGCTATAGCGATCCTAAAAGGTAACAAAGCCCCAGGCCCCAACGGTTACGAAATAGGGTACTACAAGAAATTCAAAGAAGAGCTGGCCCCCCACCTCACTTCCTTATTTAAACACTTTATGACTGGGGGCGCACCCGATGCCGACATGGCATTGGCCAACATTACACTTATCCCGAAACCCGGGAAAGACATCGAATTACAGGCCCATCTCGCTGATAAATGCGGACCTTAAAATATATGCAAAAATCCTGGCGACCAGGCTGGCGCCGATGCTAACACACTTAGTCCACCCAGACCAGGTGGGATTCATCCCCGGTAGACAACTCTATAAAAACACACGTAGGGGGGCGGTGCTCACATGGTACATACAAAAATCTGAACAGCCTTCACTGGCCATCTCCCTGGACGCGGAGAAGGCCTTTGACAGGGTGCAATGCCTACATCCAGGCCATGCGAGCCCTATATACTAGCCTGAGAGCCCAAACCCTAATAGCAGGAGCCACTAAGACCCCCTTCCGCCTTCATAGCGGTACACGCCAGGGATGCCCCCTATCCCCACTGCTATTCGCCATCTCCCTAGAACCGTTACTACAAGCCATACGCCAACACCCTCACATACAAGGAATTAGGGTAGCAGGGAAAACCTTCAAAGTCTCCACTTATGCTGACGACATGCTGCTGACTCTCACAGACCTCCATGGAACATCTGACCGACCTCCTAGACAACTACGGATCCCTTGCGGGCTATAGAGTGAACCTGGTCAAATCCATGGCACTACCATTCCACCTCCGGACCCAAGATAAAGCCATAATACACGACAGATACCAACTACCCATCACAGCTGACAACATACCCTATCTAGGGGTCAAACTTACAGCACAGTACGAACACCTACACGACACTAACTACTCCCCATTGCTCCGTACACTCCTGAGAGACCTAGAGCAGTGGACGGACAAACCCATTTCATGGTTAGGAAGACTCCACTCAATTAAGATGAATATTCTACCCAGGTTACTATTCATGTTCCAGGCCCTGCCCACACAGGTTAAGAGGAGCGACTTAGCCACACTCCAAAAAGCAATAGACATGTTCATCTGGCAAAAGAAACGACCCAGAATAGCCAGGAAACTCTTGTACAGACCCAAGGACAGAGGGGGACTGGGACTACCGAACATGTACCTATACTATCTAGCAACGCAGACGGCGCAAATAGCATATTGGCACTCCACACCAGACACCCGTCGATGGGTAGAACTCGAAACCTCACTAATGGGGCAAGATCTACCGCAGTTCTACCCCTGGTTACATAAGACACACAGAGCACTCCCTACAGTGACCTGCCCGGCAATAACGAACTCCCTAAGAATTTGGGACCTAACAGCAACTAAATACTCCTTAAGCAGGTTCCCCTCTCCAATGTCCCCGGTACTCAGGAACCGATCCTTCCCACCAGGTATGACAGCGGGCGACTTTAGCGGACTCGAGAGAGCAGGCATCCAGAGATATTGCCACCTATATAAAAACGGCCAAGTAGTCACATACGACCAGCTCAGGGAACAATCCCCCCTTACCACCAAAGACTTCTTCCGCTACCTCCAATCACGAGACTTTGCTAGCTCAAAAGAAGTCAAGGAGACGGCCACTCTCCCACTTACCTGGTTCAAAAATATATGCTACCAGGAAAAACCCCAGTGGACTCATATCGTTACTATACTCCCACCTCAGCGGGGAGGCCAAAGAATGGGGGGAGCTACGATACACAGACCAGTGGGAGACAGACCTGGGTGAGACATTAGAGGGCTCCGACTGGCAGGACATTTGGGAGGCCACAGCCCGATCATCAATATGTGTCACCCTCCAGGAACAGTCATTTAAAACACTTTTTAGATGGTACACCACACCATTGAAACAATTCCGCATGCGGATCACCCCCACAGATCTGTGCTGTCATGGCTGCGGGGAACAAGGCACCAATGTGCACATGTGGTGGAAGTGCCCCTTGGTACAGACCTACTGGGTCCAAATTATCAAACTAAGCACTAACATATTGCAGAGACCACTTAAACTAGACCCCTGGGCCTGCCTCCTCTCAAGGCCAACAGATGGCCTTCCACGCCCAGAACAACAATTGTTAAATATGATATACTTAGCGGCCCGTAGAGCACTGGCACAGAAATGGCTATGTCTGGAAATGCCCCCGGTAGCACTGGTAGTAGCGAAGATAAAAGATAATTACCTTATGGACAGATTAACTTCCCTGGTCAGGCATACCACCAAAACATTTTGCAAAATATGGGATCTATGGGAACAATATCAGGAAAACACGGAGGGCGGACAGGGGGACCAAACACACATGTAGGGCCAACGACAAAGGGACACACGACGCCCCTCGTCCGAGCCATGGAAACAGAAGCACCAATTCACAGTATAATTAACTACAATATTTCTGGTTAATACTAGATTTTAGATTACCTGTTATGATATGTTTAGTTAACAACGGTACAAAACCATACTAATAGAAGTGACATATGTATGCAAGGCAAGACCTCACTGACAAACCATGCAGAGTTGTCTCAGCACACCAAGAGATGACAAAAAAACCGCAAGCATATGCATTGTCACACATGTATGCACTTCTCTTGTGGCTTCTGCGTAAGCCTACACATTGTCATTCATATATGCACCTCTCTCGCTGCTTCTGCGTAAGCCTAGTCATTGGCACACATATGCACTTCCTTTTTCTATGAAAAATAAAGAATTTTTAAAAAAAAGTGAATTTTTATTTTTATTTTTTTTGATAAAGAAAAAAAATAGAAATAAAAATAAAAAGGCAGAACACCAAATAAATATTCACAATAAAAAAAATAAAAAATAAAATAAAATAACAGACGGTCATTTCAACCAACATTTATACATATCGTTTATAAGAAGCAAACTAAGTCGATGTAAACATTCAGTCCTCATGGTTCTAAAGTACGCAATTTATGGATCCAAAAGGTCTCTCTTTGTGACCGAATGTGACAAAATACTTTTTTTTAATATTGTTTATATGCTCCAAAACACAATTTTTGAAATCATATTGTTTGCCGCACGGACACTGAAGTAAATAAACCACAAAGTCCGTGCGGCATCCAATCTCCATCTTGATACAAAAAGACTCTCCAGTAAAAGAACTACAAAAAGTTTTAGTTCTAACAAAATTAACAGTTGAGAAGGCCTTGCAACTGTTACATCCCCTAAATCCTTTTGATGTCTCTATCTCCCTACTAGTTGTACATTTTAAAGCATAACCGGGGGCTAGTAGATTTTTTTAAATTCCGATTTTTTTTTCCACATATTAGAGTAGGACGTTTTGGTAGGGTACTTCCCAATATTGGATCTTCAAGTAGCACAGGCCAATATATTTGTAGACTATTTTTAATACATTGATGGTTTAAATTATATTGTGTAGTAAATGCATATTTGAAAGATTCACTGGAATCCTTTGTTTTGGGTTTATCCATTAGCATTTCACTCCTTTCCTCCTTCTTTATAATCCTAATCTCTTTTGCCAGACTATTTTTGTTATATCCCCTATTTATCAATTTATTCTTAATATGTATTGATTGAGATTCAAAATCCTGGGGGTGGGAACAATTGCGTTTCATACGCATAAATTGGCTTTTAGCTATGCCTTTTAGCCACGTCCTATGTTGGCAACTTTTATTATGAACATACCCATTGCCGTCAGTGGGTTTAAAAAAGCATTTTGATTCGATATGATCATCCTTACACATCAATGTCACATCTAAAAAATGTATAGTGGTTTTGTTCCAAACTGGTGTAAACTTAAAGTG